ACATGGCATTGCAGAGCGATCTCGACAGGGCTTAGGCGTGGTCATCCGATAACTGGCTCCAGTTCAACATGACCAAGTGCGAAGTCGTAAGCATACGCCATCGCCTTATCTATGAATATCGGTTTAGGGACCAGCATTTACAACGTGCTTCCCAAGAAGACGACCTCGGGTGATCGTGCAGTACGATCTTGGTTGCTCAAGACAGGCTGGAAAAAGACAACAAAGTGCCAGTCAACATTTTAGACTGTTACGGTGAACTTTCAGGCAGGTTGAGCCATCATTCTTCCCGCAAATGCTGTACGCCTACATGACGCCTCACGTGGAATGTGCGATCCAGGCTTGGCGTCCTTGGCACAAGCGCGAGGTCGATATACTTGAAACTCCGCAATGCAGTGCGACCAAACTCTTTAGAGGATTGCTTCATCTCTCCTACCAACGCAGACTGCAGTCCCTGAGATTGTACAGTAGTGAATATCAACGTCAGCGAGGAGACCTCACCATGGTTTAATTAATACTGACGAACCCAACTCACTCATGTCACAATCTATTGCATCTGAGCCAAAATACCACCCTGAGAGGCCATCAGCTCAACCGGGCTGTGCAATACAGTCGGCTTGATTGTTAATGAAAGGTTTTCTCCCTCCGTGTGTCCTGTGCCAGGAATGTCCTTCCGACCCACGTTATCATTGCCCCGACATCAACGTTATTCCAAAGACGCCATGATGAAACGCTTTTCAACTTACATTACTTGATATAGTTGGCTTCACTTGGAGGACGAAATAAGGTAAACCCAACCATGGGCTTAACGGCCCTCTCCGCAATTTGGCGTTGGGGATACATGCAGAATTGTACATGTGAGTAGCGTGGATGTGTCTAAACTAGATTAACATGCGACATCTGTCAGATGATGCAACACACGAGTAAGCGTTGTAATTTTTATTTCTGACGCATTGAAATAGAACAGCTCTCTATACAGTTTTGTGCGTACACTTCCCATTCCCACTTCAAACTATCGTTATGCAGTAGAGCATTTGAATCGGTGGACGCTTAAAATAATGATTTGTTTATTCGATGATCCTTTAAATGTTAGTTTTTACGCCTAATCTCCTACGGTACTTGTCAAGCACATGCTTTTTTACCCGTGATAAATCATTGTTCATTGTGATCAGTCATCCAACTTGAAGATTTCCATTGATCTCACACTGACGGCCTGGTAGATCACAATCCAAACTAGAGCAGCCCATCCAAGGGCTCACCTTGTTACGTACACCTATAGCCTCGTACATATATGTATTTATGTAAATTTTAACTTTGCTGAATATTTACGGGTCATTCGTGTAGTTTTACCAAGAGCATGCCTGTGAATGCGTGTCTCGCGTTGCCCAGAATATAACGTTTATTTATTTATTAGCTGTTGTATGTGTTATACTTTCGGCAACCTAACGGAGCGTAACTTGTAGGGACATTACACTTCGTTGACCGCCATCATGCTTCTTTTAGTCATTAAGTAGTGGTAATTCCTAACTCTTTCCTAAAAGCACACTAAAGACTTAGAACTGCTCAACTTGGATTCTAATACTACCCAGAAAACACATATTCAGACAATAACTTCAAACACGCCTGATACTAAACGCATTCAATTGCAGCGTTCTTATGCATCGGATTAGCGCTACGGGTCGATGACGGAATACATAGTGCCCATTTTCTACTGAACTTCAACCGGCTACTCTAATCCAAGTACTTTTGCTGGACCATTTTAGCATGCTAAATAAACGTCTTCTATCATATGAACCTGAATAAATTCTAGCCCATAATCTGACACATGCGTCTCTATAGCTCAATGGCAATACAGGCAGAGAGATATTGGTACCTATTCCTCGAAGTCCCTAGATTGATAGGTCCTAGTTAAACTCATAGAAATGCAGCTACCAGATACATCATTTTATCATGATTCATAAGTCTACTGAGTTGCCACAAGACCAAGGCTAAAACTCTTCGCACACATGTAGACAGGATACCAATTACGAAATTCAGAGTAGCCAACCGACCACATGGTGTTTTTGTAGCTAAGCCACCACTCAATACCGGTAGTACCATCGGAATACTATACACTAGATAAGACAGCCTGGTCTGTCTAGACGGTACTTCGTACTCACTAATGTTCAGTTCATTTGCACTCCGACCATTGACATTTATGGATGAGAATTCAAGAGAATGACATTTGCTCGCACTGCCTCTTGTCTTTCCATCGTCAGAAGCAAAACAGCCATCGATTTCCCAGTAACCGTAAGCTTCTCGTGGTGCTATATCAGATAAGTTTGAGCATGTGAGAGGTCCAGTTAAGTTTCCCGAAAGGGTATCGTTAGAGGGCATTAACGTCGAATTTTAAGTCCAAGACTACTTGATGAAATTAGCATCATGGTAGTAGTCTTAAAATCATCATGGTTGATGATAAATAGCACCTACCATCAAATGAAAATTCAAGTGCAGCATGCTGTATAATAATGGAATCATTTTGCGTGTAAAGCGTACGCATATAGCAACCGATGATTATCAAACTTGATTCAGCGGAACCTAGAGAATTGCCAACTGCTCTCTTCTCACTAACATTCCATTTAGACTTTACTGCATGACTGGTTAGTACAGGAAGTACTCACGCATTTCTTACAGGGTGCTGCATATAAGACACTGAGATACCCGAGTCCAAAGGAACCTCCAATTCAACTGCATTGAGTAGTCTCGCGCGTGTTAATGCTGGTAACACGTCGGCAGGTTAAGCTGCATTAGACATCATTCTCAAATCTAAGGGTGTAGTTCGCTGGTGGACTGGATTTCTCTGAACAGCCCGTTTGGCAACCGTAAAAAATTACCAAATATTGCCCGCCTTTTTATCTGCAATAATCCAATATTCGGGGGGTACTAATCTAAGTTCGACGTCCTCTACCGCATTCATTTGTGGCTATCTTCTCTGAGATGCTTAAATCTTGATTAGATGCCATGTTCACGCATTGCTCAGTAATTGTACTGTCATCCGTGAAGTGATGATCCCTGACACTTTACCTTTAATTATCTGCAATCTAAGGTTTGGGCTAATTGACGAAGCCCACGGAACTCTCTCTGGCATTGAGTGTCACGTAATGAGACCAGATAAGAAGCGAATTTAAACGAAGAGCGATGGTCCCAGGCTAGTCTGGAAATGACAGATGCAGGTGCGTTTTGTAACCAAGACAAGTGGCTCTATCTCCTTCTAGTCCGAAGTTCCAGCATGTTAGCATTCGATGATGAAATCAAAGAAAACAGCAAGGCGCTCATTCGCAATGCGGAAGTGCTCTATAACACAGCGCAATTAGGCTTTTTTACCTGTTACATCGTCTTCAGCGAACGCGCGTAAACACACGGTATAATCACATAACCGAACCTAGTACTCACAATCCACTCGGCGCTACCTGTAAACTGACGTTCTTCTTCATTCTATTTGTGTGTGGCTTTGCGTCCTACATATTAAATCGAAATTATTTATTCAAAAACATATCCAACCAGCATTTACCAAGACGCTTCAGCCCTACGTGCAACTTCGACACAGTATAAACTCAGCTACGGGCGTAAGTACAATGCTAGTGCCGTTGCGCACTGTCTAGAGGGAAAAGTATTACGAAATAGAAAATAGCTACACGCCGAGCATCGCATGGTACTAAGGTCCACACTTTGGAGTGTGCATTCTATAGGGCCACTCACGTGTAGTAATGGATTAGGGATGTCTGTTTTCGAGCCTCAAGCTGCAGTGGGGCCAAAATGAACACAAACGCATGGGCTACGAAGGTGAAAATCCTTTGCTGATTGTTATCGGAAACAAGTAAAGAAGCAATAAGATGCTTGTTTTCTTCATCGCAGTGATGAGTTGCTTGCGCTTATTTTTTGTCTTCACACGAAATGTATGCGAAGTGGTCTCAGGGAGATCTTTGTGCTCTTTAGTGCTGAACAACCTATAGATAGTTGAAAGAAATCTCAGGCGAGGAGAGATGATTGTGAATATCGTACGCATACGTGATAGACGCGGTTAACCAAATCCATTGATCGTCTGCGTCGTCTTACGGAAGACACATCGCTGCGATAATTGTGCTGTTAACAAGGCCTCGGGATTTACTTTAAAACCAAAATGGAAGCTGGGGCTTGTACACAGCTTTGCCTGATCACATTGTTCACGGCTTAACTAACAGAATGAACAAATGTGTATAAAAACATGATATACTTGTTCTCTGGGTGCTGCTTTTCTCAATATGTACATATCTTTCTGGGTAACATAAAGACTAGATTAGAGGTTACTGGCATGTGGCAGATTACTTTGCAATAGGAAAACAAAGCGTGGGTGCAATTTTCAAACTGTTTCTTTATCCCAAATCTCGGAAAACGGGGCTGTGGACTGTTTGACAACAGGGCGACCATATCCGAACAGATCTGCTGTAGGTACGTTGTGGCAGAGTAACTTGAACTTGAAGGTTAACTTCTATTTCGTCATGTGGTTCCAGGGAAAACTATTTGTCATGCGCTTGATTGTGCCGAACACACAAGCATACATTGGCCATTAGTTAAACTGGCGGTGAAATTTCGCCTGAACAATCCATGCATCTCTGCTAGTTGGTGAATCCTGATCCATTGGCCTCGAGATTGGTCTCGTTGGCTCCATGGTTCCAATGCCGCATGATACAGCGTAGCTGAGTACGAGACTATGCAATAACAACGCAGTTATTGCGTGAACTATCAAGTGAGCATGCCGTGTAGTTCCTTGCAGTTTAACTCTGTAGGATCTAATAATGGATGCAAACCGACTCCATGGAGTGAGTCACATCAAATACAGCCGCTTCACTTTCATTGTAGCTTCAATACACTATCGGGCTTTGGTGCAGCACTACCGTTTTATTGAAAACCATTACTAGTCAAGGCAGAGAAACTCTCTCATGCGTGACCAAATAATCCTCATAGGTTTGAGAATTATGTTTTGGTGGTTGAATACGGCATATTTTTCTTTCTGGGTATCCTGATGATGGTTATTTAGGGTGTCTGAGTGAACGTGTTGCTCCGGTCAGCATGTGGGGCCCGAAAAGTAGACCGAGTCCATATGGCGGTAGAAATGAACTAAAGGTATTTGCCTGACTGATGCACAACTTGGATCTACAAGACGCATTGTTCATTCGAGGGTTTGGGCTTTGGAGTTCGTGGTCATTGGCTTCCAGCAGCCTCTCGATACTGAGTATAGTTGTTGGTCTCTCGAAAGCTGATGTTGTTTGCTTTTGACATAAATCATTCTTCCTCATCTGGGTTGAGTTCTGCGTCAAATTCAGTGGCTGTACACCGCTTCGTTCTACTTCCATTGCCGAATCAACAGATGCCGCCGGATACCTATTGACTGGTTCTTCCTTGTCGGTTACTTTCAAGTGCTGTTGCATCTGTACCTGCATCATTTTCAACGCGTTGTACAACATGGGCTCATAGGGCGAAGTTCCCATATTGATGTATGAACCCAGACATTGTAGTGCCGAATAACCAGCGTAAGGCAAGCTTTGTTTCTCCGCAACCGCAGCTTCGGAGTTGACAGGTAGAGCTGAAAGATAGCTTGTAGTTTGAGGGATAAATGACATGTTCCCAGTTGGATGGGTGGTTGGGTCACTTATCTGTCCACTCACGTTTTCTGTTAGGAAGCTACTATTTAGTTGCGTGATTACCTGTTGATTTTGCTTACATAGACCCACCCGATCAATTATACGGGTATCCAAGCAAGTGCTGAGCTCTGATTGCATCTGGATATCTTTCGTGAGATTCAACTCATTACACTTTAAATTTAAGCAGGAAACATTGCTGAAATGAGCTTTATTCAAATCTTCAGGCATCTCATTGATTCTGGTATAATTTTCCGTCGCGAATGCGGGTATGTCTGATATGGTTGCTGGAATAACCGGGGCTGCTGACGGAATATTTACTGATGTTGGAAGGAATCCGTAATGCGGCTGTCGGGAAGTCACATCTGTCTCGTGTTTCGTTTGTCTTGCCAAGAGCCTTGCGTACGCCTCATTGATGGATGACAGAAGACAGGTTGAGTTGATGAGGGAGAGTTGAACGTTGCTGCCAGTTTCGACCCCTAGGAATGGCACTGACTTCTCGTTGGAGGAGGGAAGCTTTTCACTTGGTGTCTGTTGCACACTTAGGTTCAACCCTTTGACCGTCGGATCGGTGGGGCACATCTGACTTGGAAGTCGATGAGGTGTCTCCGCTTTACCAACCGTATCTTCTGGACCTAATGCGGAGTTTCGGAAGAGAATGCGTTCAGCTGCTAACTGGTCTACAAAAACGGAAAGAAAGGTAATTATTTGTGATAGTCGGTTATACTTTATTTGTGGGGGCTAATCAATATCTAGTTCTCAATCTTCTGATCCTCTTCTAAATCACACGTGGAATGGTACACTAATTTTGGAGTGGGTATTGATTTGCAGATTGGTTTTCACTGTATAAACCTGCAAGCTGTGTATCATACTCGTTCACTTCGTGAGTAGTGTTTAGAAATAAAAATTCCGCATGACGCTTTCAGCAGTTAGACCCAGACTATGTGGATGTGGCCAAACGCTTTGTGGGCGATTAATACCTGTCGACTTGGCATTGTAGGTGCGTGTTCCAACCAGATTGACTTAATTTCCTCAACGAATAGGATAATGTATCGCATCCCAGTGTCTGAGCTAGAAAAGTGGCAAGCGTTGATCGCTTCCAACGCTGCAGTACACAATCAAGCACTATGTTGCTTGGTTTGTACGGATGGAGATAAATCAGACTACGACGTAAACCAAGAAGCCAGATTATGTGCTAGAAGTTACAAACGGCACTTCATCTCAGAGCGACATCTGATGAACGAGTGATATTACATTCTGTAATCCACTTTTGCAGCGGATTTTCCGCCAAAGCACAGCGATGATTTCTTGTGTGTATTTGTCCAACATCGTTACTGCATGACTGCCCGTTGCTGAACTTACCCCGGTACCGCCGCGTTTGGTGGCGCGTAATCGCTGAGCTCATCCCCAAAACAATCCGGTTGAGTTCGTGTTTCTTGTCAGCATTGTGTGAACGTGAACATTTGACCAGTCGATTATCGACTCCTTTAAGATGCCGAATCCCGTTGCGCCTGGCTTCACGATGTATGTTTGCGGTCCGCAAAGAAGCTAAAACAGAAAGATATGATCACTTGGGTATGATAAAATATTATGGGACGTTATATTTTTGTCCACGCAGTTGCTTGGGCTCATCTATGCTTCACTATCATGCAAGCGGCCAAATTTTAGGAATTCAAAATGACAAACCGCTCTAATTTACAGGTCCACGTCTTCGGAGAGGTAAGTAGAGACCAGTAACTATCGAGGGATTACGTCATTGTTACCCAAACCTTCACATTTCTTCCGACCCGCCAACAACGGCTTCATTTACTTCGTTCCACGGGTCGGGAACCTATACATGTTTAAATTTCGCATTATATACGCAATTACAATGGGTCCTATGATTGAGCATAGTCTCCCCAAATTCACTAACATCGACCATTTTGGAAAATCGTGGATTAATACGCTGAATCGATGAACGACTTGCGCTTAATAACGAGTCTAATCAATGGTAGTGTGATCACTAGATAAAACATCGAGGTGATGGTCGGAAAATTGTCTCCGGACGAATGCGCAATGTGTTATATACGAAGGATGCATAACCTAGTACATGGTGTGCGCCTCTCATTCCCGGATGTTTAATTCACCTTATAGACAGTACCCGATCGTCTTGTGTTCAGTGCATGATATGGTGATTTCGTGTTTTAAAACGTATCTGGTCTTTTGTCAGTCACTTTGTGTTTTCGTGAGCAAACATAACCACATTATGCGACATTAAATCTGCTCAGTGAAAAGTATCAAATTATACTTCATGTAAACTACGGTAAATTGTAAAAATAGACTTTGGTGCCGATAGCAAAGGACACAGTGGATGAAAGTGCTAAATTGTGTGGTCGGACGAAGCCGTCACTCACGCAGTGGAATAAACAACACTGTTATACTTGGACGCAAGCTGTTACACGAGGAAGCTAAATGCTCACAATAGAGAAACAGGTGAACGAATTACCACAACAGTTGAAGAAAGTTAGCTACGTTAAACAGGGAGTACTTGAGAGCCCTATCTTGCATAGTGAACCATTTCCCGGTAGTTTGTTATGTTTAAATCTGTCACGTGTGTTTACTGAATTATGTGGACCCCAAATATAGGTACCTAACTAAACAGCAATATAAATACCAGGGCAAAACAGTAAGTTTACGGGTCCGCAGTGCATAGATGTTGTGCAGATTTCCTGACAAGAAAAATGCGGACTGTAGTCCATTCTGAACATTGTTCAGTACTTTCATCTACAGAATATTGTATCAGCAGTCCGGCACAACTCACTACTCATTAGTGTCCCCATACGCTGACTGTAAGTGTGGCGCTTAGTCGATGTCACCAGAGAACGATGAGGTTCTGGGACTAAAAATGTGTTTAAAAGTAACAGCAGAGTGTTGGGCGATTGCGTGCTGCTTTTGTTGATGATGCGCCTTCACCAACCACCGAGTTAGAGTGATTTGCGGCATTCAATCGCGACAGTTGGTCCTGGATGATGAAACAGAGTATGATCGACCTGTAGAAGTCACCACTGCGGAGAACATTGCTACTGTGCATGCGATGCTGGAGCAGGATGCGCGGGTGAATCTTGTGCAGCTATGGAAAGCCATCAGGATCTTACCGGAATCAGTCCGCGTCATCCTACATGAGGACCTCTGCTTCAGAATGGTTTGCACACGTTAGGTACCCCACCAGCTCGATGAGAACCAGAAAGCAGCTCTGGTGAGTTGGTGACGCTTCAAGCCTGCCCGGTTTGATGGTGGACGTTTCATTGCTGTTTAGGATGTCCATAGTGCTAATAAGAACTTGATGTACCGTTTCGACTCAGAGAACAAGCAACAATCCTCAAAGTGGACAGCAGTTGGTGGGGCGCCGCCTCAGAGATTCCGGCAGAAGCACAGTGCGACCAAGCAGATGATGGATATGTTCGTGGCTGAAACCGGTCATTTGGCTACTGTACAGCTCCTACCGCAACACACAGTCGCCGGAGACCGGTACCTCCCTTAGTGTCTGTCACGAATGCTGGAAGCTATAGCCAGGCGTCGTCCAAATACAGGAGCACGAGGGAACTTGCTGCATCATTACTACGCACCTGCACATAGGTCCCGTGCCGACGTAGATTTTGTAGCTAGGGAACGCATCCAGGAGGTTGGTCACCCACCGTACAGTCCAGACCTGGCTCGGGGTAAGACTTTTGTTCCCAGCTGTCAAGCACAAGGCGGGAATAATCCGCTACGCATCTCTATAGGCCGCAGGGAACGCCTTTTTGAGCTACTCGAAGGTTTACCAGATTGGCATGGAGTAGCCGCTTCTCCAATGGGTTTGAGCGCATTGCAATTTGCATGAACGCCGGTGGAGAGTACTATGAGAAAATGCAATGCTTATTTTACAGTAAAAAATAAAGCTTCTGTTTCGTCCCGAAACTACTTGCTCTACCCACGTAGAAGCCCTCAACATTCGTTTACCTATGATGCAATTGGGTCAATAGCTTGAATTGTGCATGAACCACAATGAGTGTGTGACACTTTTTGTAAATATCCGTAACAACAATGCTATTTGAGGTGGAGTAAATGCAGTATCGAAGTCAGATCCTCATCTCTGCTCATGGGTACATGGACTGAAGTACGCTTATCAAAACGGTTGCTATCCCTCAATGTGTATATCAGTCTGGCGATGCTAAAGACCGGGTTGCTTGGTCCACAGCCATAATACCGTAGAAGGGATCGGAGTTAATGTATAATACACCTATTTGCAGCGATTAAATCCAGCCTCTGCATAGACCAGTTTCATCCACTACTCGGAGCAGGACAGATTTCAGCTATTTTCTGAATTCCAAACTCGCCTTTAACCGCTGGTTTCTTCAATAATCACCTTCAGTATAAGTGAAATAACTAGTTTTGTTCCAGCAGACACTGATGTTAAACAAAATAGAAAGGAGAGTCGTTGCGCTGTCACCGCAAACATCAATCGTAGTCAAACTACATTACAATATACTACGGCATCATCTCAATGGTGTTCTCGCAAGCCGGCGTCCAAAATTAAAAGGGTAATTATTCTAATGGTCTTCAGCCACCTTTTTCCTTTGGTGCGAGTCGCCTTTACTGACGAACTGAGCAATGTAGGTACGTTAGATGGTAAACGAAATTTCGACATTTTAGGAGAAATGGAGCATTTGTTTAGTTTAATTTGTGTCCGACCCATGGGGTTCACGAAACTCGAGCCACTTTTTGGCAACATTCCACTTAATTATACCACACCGGACGCAGTTTTGAACCTTGATGATATTTCCATGCGGGTCCCAACGTTAGACGCAAGTAAGCAGGATTCATGAAGGCTTAAAATACAGCGTAGTCGATGAGATGTTGTTTATCACCATTGCAAGCGCTTGAATTAAGCATTTAGTCGCTGACTATTATGTTGATAGTCACAATGCTTGCTGTTTGGTTTTTCTTTTACCCACCAGCTCTTCAAGCATCTCTAGGGACTGAAGGTATGCTTCGTCGTGTGCTTTTTACTGTTTATTGCGATAACTTCATATACACTTCCATCAAGCTAACTGAAGACCCACAATCCCAATTTGCATATGGCTTTCGAATTTAGTTCTCATTGAATGTCGACTGCAGTTTACTTTCACCTGTTCGTACAGCCCACCGCTCCGCGTCGCCGTTGAATGGTGTCACTTCCTCCCACCATAAAGCCCACTTGGGATATGCGATTAACTGCAACTTTTTCCATTCGCGTGTAGTTGCACCTTGACAACAACTTCCTTCCCACCAGAGTAATACACACAAGTATGGCGGAGTGCAAAACAAACACTTTAAGCGGGACAGGTGTACGTAACCCATGGAAACATTTTAGAGCTCTCGGTTCCGCGCGAAGCTGCATGCTGATTGCGAGCACAAATTAGCACTCCTTCATCTCTCCTATTCATGTGCACAAAAGTACCTAATTCAGCTAATGGCAGTACGGAAAAGGCAAGGTGGGAAACCACACGCGACCAAGTCACTCTCTTCCTGTCCAAATTGGTCAAGCCGTTAACACTTTGCTCCCACGATTTAGTTAAGCGATAATCTACTGACAGCATGTTCCTGCTGACCTACGTTCAGCAAAGTGCGCCGCATTGCGCCAGTTTGCGAAAACTTGGTAGTCCTCAAACGTTCGGCAAACTGTCCTTTTGACATGCTGAGGTTCGTCGCTTGGTATCGGACGACCAGCAGCATCTGCCTTTGTTGGGGAGGCACGTAGTGCATATACATATTTTGGAAAACATCCTTAGTTCTCGATTTGTTTCCTTCAGATATCGATGTTAGTGAAATTTGTTTAAACATATCATTCCGCTTATTTTATTGACTGTTTGTGGTCATGGGTTTGCTCTCGGGTCGCATTGCAACTTGGCTCCTAACACTATCTTTTCGTTCCTGCGTGCCTCTTGTTGGTTCCTTGGTTGATCACTCATCATTGGCTTCATTTTGTTTGCATGTTTTAGCAAGATGGTTGGGTGTAATCGCTTTTAGTAGCTTCCCTGCAGACCATTCTTAAAACTATTTAAACAAACATGATGCAATGCATACGATTCTTTCCCGGTACGTCGGAGTTCTTCTTGCGGTTGTGGGATGAATGAATCAGCTGCGACACAACAGCCTTCAGATCAGCAAACCGGAAATGTTTCGATACCGATAAGGTGACAGTTCGAAAGGAACTCAAAGCATACGCAGCAGAAAAGTGGGGCGGCCGCTCCCTTGCGGAAACAATCAAAACTGAGCCTTTTATGATAATTTGCTCGCTTGTCGCTCGATAAAGCGTTTTATTGCGTATCCGGTCAGGTAAGACCGAAGTGTGCAGCGATCCGTTCGCATACATGATTTCCTCTTTTGTTACGGTCAACGACAGTTTTGTGTCTCCTTGGTTGTGTTTGGATTCCAGTCTCACAGTGCCCAATTGATAAACTAGAAAAAATCCCCTGATGACTTCGAAAAATATATTTGCTCAACAGGTCCTGTAGACTGGTCAAGGCGAGAAGTGCAAAAGCAAAATG